AAGCTATGAGAACAATTAGAGGCACAGAAAGCACATTCATTCACATGCGGAATTACTGACTTTCAATGCGGGATAAAAAACATTAATCCACACTCAGCGCCTGATAAAACCAAGGCTAAGTCTGAAATTCACGTCTCAATAATTATTGACTATAATGTCAGTGACATAAGTTTCTAGAGCAGTGGCTGTATAGGATATATTCCCAAATCTGGTGCTCCTTTTTGATTATTGTTTAACCTATTTTAAAACATCTAGCACAGAAAGGAGAAAGTGATTTAAATATTATCTGTTTAACTTGCTAACCTTCTGATGCCCTTTTGCAAACAGCTTGTTCAAAGTCCATAGAGCTAAGCGAAATAAGCCAGTCAGAGAAAGATAAGTATCACATGATCTCACTCATTTGTGGAATATAATGAACAACATAAACTGATGAACAAAAACAAATCCAGAGACAGAGAAGCATCGATCAGACCATCAAACCTCAGAGGGAAGGTAGGGGAGGGTGGGGGTAAGGGGGAGAGATCAAACAAAGGACTTGTATGCATGCATATAAGCCTAACCAATGGACACAGACAACAGGGGGGTGAGGGCATGGGGGGTAGGGGGACAATGGGGGGGGATAAGGACACATATGTAATACCTTAATTAATAAAGAAAAAAAAGAGAGATTTGGATACTCAGAATAACTCTTCTGTATCACTTTATAAACTGAATTTCCTTACATGCAATTTGGATTTCTCTGAAATAAGCAACCACAGGGGTTTGAAAGTTCCAGCACAGATTTATAATGAAATGAAAGATTGAATTATGTCCAGAAATGTGTGATGGCATTCAAAGAAGAATGACATTTACTGAAGTAATACTTCCCCTTAATACTCTTCCACATGAAATTTGCCTTCTGTAAGCAGATTACCTTCATAGACAATGTAGGGACAGCACTTAATAACAGTGAATTATATCAACCAAGCTACTAAAATTAGTAATGACTTTGTTTATAAATAGCTATGTAATGGTACTTTATTTTGTGAACCCTGCAGTGTAGCTCTGTGTACTGAATGCCTGTTAACTTACTATCTTCCTTTTGTTTAAAGCATGCTTCTTTAAGGTTATCTCTTAAACCACTATTATTATTTATACTAGAGACCCAATGCACAAAATTCGTGCAAGGGGCTCAGCCCTCACAGCCCCAGCTTCGTCTGGAAGGTCATTCAGCTGTCCAGTCTAATTATCATATTATATTTTCATTATTGTAGATGTTGGGAAGAGTAGGCATGCATTTCCAGGAGATATGGATTAGAACGTTCAAGTGTATGTGTGTGTGTGTGTAGACTGAAAAAAATTTGCCTCTCTTAAGGTTCTTATGTACCTCATTAGGAGGCATTCCCCAATCTTTAGATGAAAGTCTGTGGACCAGAAAAATTAAATTGTTACGAGAAATTATTATTGGCATTTTCAAGTAAAAGCAACATGCACACGTGCTATAGGATTAAACCATTAGAGCCTCTATATCTTGAGACAGGAAATCTGATAGGTAAAAGAGCTTCTTATCTTTGTAATACTAACTCTTTTATTCTGAACAAAGATAGCCTATTATTTTAAAAATAAAACTGTAGACCTAAAAAAGTTCCTCCAGGCTACTGTGTCCATTCCCTTTGGATCCAGAAAGGCTGAATATTAATGTATCTCATTTAAATTGCTCTGCTATTTTGAAAGCTGTCTTGAGTCCAATCTCCCCTTTGGGGAAAATAGGAATAGAGAAGGGAATTTAGAAGTCTGCCTGGCTTGGCTCAAAACTGATATGGCATCGAAAGATGCCAAGGTCGAGAAGGGTTGGAAGAGAGTTTGGGAGATTGTGGAGAGATCCATTTTATGATGTGTCAGCCTAGAGAGGAGAAGGAACCTTTGGCTTTATCCAACAAAATAGATGGCAAGTGAGTTGCCAAATGCATTAAGTCAGTTCAGATTCATTTGCCAAAGTCAGGATGGGGCTCACTAGCACAACGTTTCTCTAGCTTCCTTGGCTGGAAAACTTTACACCACTCACTGTAGTCCAAGTATGGGTATGTGTCTGCTGGGGGCAGGGTGCTGGTCATGGTGGTGGTTCTTTGTGATCAACTTCTTGGTCTGAGGCTGCTAATGGCCTCACTGCTGGAGTGTTCTATGTGTGGTCAGGTTCAGATGTTTTACACAGACCAGGGAAGAGTGACAGATAGCATTTACATTCTGATGATCTTCCTGTGGCCCCATGGCCATCTGTGCTCTTGTATTGAACCTTTGATCCCATTCATGATGGCTCCACCCTCATGACCTACCTCACAAAAGCCCTACCTCCCAAAATCATCACATTGGAGATCAGGGTTTCAACATATGAAATTTTTTTGGGGGGTGTGGGAGAGAGGCAAAAACATTCAGTCCAGAGCACCTACCTCAGATGGCCTCCTTTTCCTTCTTTTCTACTTCTTTTAAATTGCTATACTACTCACTCTGCTCCCTTCCTAAAAAATTCCAATGTAATTTTTCTAAAAATGTTTCCTCACTCCCTTTTCTTTTTGTTTTCTTTCAGTAATTACATGGCTCAATCTTAAACTCTACATAGTTGCCCTGAAATCTGTGTGTTTGCCCCGACCATTGGTCAACACATCTGGATATCCCCATTTGGATGGTCATCTGGCTCTTGAGGACAAAAGGCCACACTGAACTCATCCTCTTCCCATTGTTTTTCCTGTAATTATTCCAGCATTCTGGTTACCAGGTTCAAAACTCAATAATCATTCTTTACATCGTCCCTTGGTTCCAGGCCTTTGATGATTTTTTCAGTCCTGTTGTTAAGATCCCCCTGAAATGCCTATTTTTGTTGTACTGGAACCAGCCAACTCCAATGCACTGTGGTTTTGGCATGCAGAGACATGCTTTAATGGAAGTCATAGTTGCCAGGGACCAGCATGTCCTGTGTGCAATAATGCAAGGGGTAATTTATGGGAGTTAAGCACTGGCAATAAGATAGAAATCATGTTGTTCATAGGATGTGAAGAAGCATTTTATTTGTTGGATACACAACTGACAAGGGGCCACCCTCAGCTCCTCGCTGGTTGTTGGCTGGACTCCACCTTCAGTGCCTTGTCACATGGGCCTTCCCCAAATTGCTACATGCTTTATCAAAATCAGCAAGAGAGAGTATCCTTCCAAGATGCAGCTCACAACCCTATGCAACCTAATCATGGAAGTAAATGATATCCCATCACCCTATCCAGTGGTCGGCAAACTCATTAGTCAACAGAGCCAAATATCAACAGTACAACGATGGAAATTTCTTTTGAGAGCCAAATTTTTTAAACTTAAACTATATAGGTAGGTACATTGTTATTAACTTAATTAGGGTACTCCTAAGGCTTAGGAAGAGCCACACTCAAGGGGCCAAAGAGCCGCATGTGGCTCGCGAGCCACAGTTTGCTGACCATGGCCCTATTCTATTGGTTATTCTGTTGGCTAAAAGTAAGTCAGGGGTCCCGTCCACACTGAAGCTAGAGGGGATCATGCAAAGACTTGAACATCAGGAGAGGGGGTGACAGGGACTGTGAGAGAGTCTGCTGACCACATATAGCAGGGTTGGGGAATATCCAGCCCGTGGGCTGTATCATTTGATCTGGCCCTGCCAAGGCAGGACTCAAAATTTCATAAATCTAAGAGCTTTTTTCATAGCAACATTATTTTTAAGTTGATAATTTTGTATGGCCCATATATGGTGTCATAAATATCCAATGGTCTTTGGCAGACAAATGATTCCCCAACCCTGACATATAGGAAGGGAGGAAACACCACTCTTGTCACTTCTATAATTCTATCACATCAGTGGTAAAGCCTCATTGACAGTATTTATTTAGGTTAAATGACAAATATTTCAGATATTAGAAAGTCAGTAGAAGCTTTCTTCCTGTTTCTTCACTTAATTAGGCAAAAATGAAAGTTTTTCTACAGGGTTCAGAAGGTTGTCTTACTGGATAATATTGAATTATTATTAAAAAATAATTGCTATTAATGAATTCATTATACGTTCCTTTGTTCCTTACCTGCCATTTGGTTCTCTCTCTCTTTCATCATTTTCTATTCCATTGATTACTTTCAGAGCCCATCTCTTCCTACCATTTTCTATCATACATTTTTTAAAATAGAATTTTCCTCTTTCCTACACTATGCATATAGGTGTTTACTTTATTGAAGTCATTAATGACTTGATAGCTTCCCCTTAGAGTCACTGAAGTGAATTAAGGTATTTCCTGTGAGACTTGGTCAATTTCTCCTTGACTTGAATTATCATAATCTGTACATGTTTCTGCTTCCATTCTGTCATTACTTATGGCCCTGAAATAGTTATTTCTCAAAGGGTTGAGGAAATTTGGGATTATGTTCTGCACTGTCCAAATGAGACTCCTTCAGGGTTGAGTCACTTAAGACATTTTAGTGGAGCTGAGAGTAATTTTAATTAAGATCTTAAGCTTATAAACATGATGAATCTTTACTAGAAGGAGGAAATATATACATAGGATTGAAAATAAAATGAATAAATAGATATAGGTACTTTTTCTCAACCTCCAATTTTAGAGATGTACGTAGATTTTTTAAAGATGAAGCAAAAACAAACACAATACAAATTAATACATCAAAACCATTATCAATGAATAATAATCTCTCATTTATATTTCTAAAAACCAGAACACCTTAGTAAACTTACACGTGGGTCCATTTAGAATTGTCAAAATCAGGTCCAGTTACCTAGTTATTTTCAGAGGTCAGGACTTTCTTGCCATTGGAGCCATGATATAAAAATTTCTTTAAGCAAACAAGTGTCTATCACATGTGTGCATCACCTAGAGGATGCATGCAAGAACTGGGATGTTCCAGACCTTTATTTCTATCACCCAGATGGCAATGCTGCTGGTGTGGTTTTCTTAAGAATTTGGAGTTTTGCAATTTAGGTTAGAGATCAGGAGGCTAATACTAACCTGATGCAGGTGCCGTTGTTGTGGCATTGATGATGAGCACACCAAGGGACGTGGCAGTTCTCAATGTTCTTTCCACGTAGTGCTTCATCAGTGATGAAGAATTCTTTGTTGTTTACTTGAAGCTTTCCAATGCAGCCCTTGAACCCATAGATATGGCCCACATTCTTATGAATCTTAGCATTTTCAGGTATATGGCCAAGGAACATTGATTCCAAATATACCTATAGGAAAAATAGCAATAAACAAACATCTTCTTATAAGGTGTTAGATTATAGGAGAAGGGCGTAGGATATTTTGTTCTGTAATTGCATAGTCTTCTATGTTAAATAGGTTTCAATTGTGGGATAGTTTTGTCAACCCACATAGTAGGAGGTAAGGTACATTTACTTTAGAAAAAGGCCCTTATTTTATATTTCTTTGTATCTCTCACAATAGCTAATAAATTTTATTACAAAAAATGGGAATTTGACAAAACTTGATTACTTTGAAATGTATTTTAGAACTCAAGTGTATGCTTTTCAATGTGAACATTATCAAATAATAACTGATAAAGAAAATTAAACCTTGTTATTTAATTATTAATAGAGATTGAATTGTGCTACCCCAACCCCTGATTCATATGTTGAAGTCCTACCTAACATCCAGTACTTCAGAATATGACCTTGTTTGGAAATAGAGCTTATACTCATTGACCAGAATGAGGATAAAATCACTTGCATGATATAAATTGCTACTTAATCTCTCCTTTATAATCCTTCATCAATATAAATAAACTGAACTTTCATCGTTCAGATGTACATAAAATGCAACATTCCCCAATGGGGATCTATGAGCTACAGTTGAAGTCTGGATGAAATGGTAATGAGCTGTTAGGCATATGACAGGTCAATGCAGCAGCATTGGTGCCCAGTTTATGACTCTGATGTGCTTATTCCCCAAACTCCCTCACTCAGTCCCAGCTGATTTCGAAGAAAGTATTTAATTTGGTATTACAGATGCATTGAAATGGACAACTGTCACTGCAAGAATTCAAAAACTATAGCCAAATAATTAAGTTATGACTGGTGGGAGGAGATGATGTGAGATGCCCAGTAATATTACTTAATACTTATACTAATTTTTTTTGGTTTAATGCAAATGTGCTTTTATAGAACAGAAGCATGTGCAATTCTAGGAACATCAAAGCATCTCTATGATCCATAGTAGATCAAACTAATTATATTACTTGAGTTCTTATTCTTTTTTAGTGACTTGGGCTCTGCTCCTAAGGCCATTTCTTATTTTTTTTCCCTAAGTACCTCTTATGGGACTCATATATAGTTCCCCAGAGTATGAGTACCTTTGGGTATAGTGGGGTGGAAGTTTCAAGGTGTATTAATAGAGCCCTCAGGCAGCATAGGAGTATGTGAATTTGTTTTTCCTTCCTTTTTTATATGCTAAGTCCATTTATATCAATTACTCTAACAAACTATTAGCAGAGCTCTTTTATCACCTAAGATTAGTGACTCACTGCTAATGCAATCTGGGATCTATCATGAACCTGCAGACTCAGCGAATCCAAGGCTGTGACCTTCCTCTCATTGAGGATCTCTGACATCTTTGTGTATTGATCACACACCTGGAACAGCAAACCTCTCACTGCTTTGACAAGTGTGCTGTTTTAGCACAAAACTGATAGTGGATGAAAGAATATCCTCCTCTAATGCCAGCAGTAGGCAGATCGGAGGGAAAGTCTGTAGAACTATCTATGATTTATTAGACCATTAAAAAACACCCAAACAATGGAAATAAATGGCTCTTGTATTTCTTCTGATCTGAGGCTCAAACTTAGTTGGAGCCCTGAGATGTCTAAAAAAACAGCTGTCGTTGATTGCACATAGATAACCATTAAGATGGTTGACTTCCTCTATCCCCAGACTCTCAATTATCTAAGAGCTGCCTATTGTGTGTATAATCATTCCTAAGAAGACAGGTCTTTAAAATAAGTCTTTTCTAATAACTCCTTGTGAATCAGACTATGGAGAATAGAGTCTGACATCAAGATATGATCTTACAAGATAAAACCACAGAGAACAGACATGGATAATCAACGAGGAATCATCAAGATAATGAAAAATAAGAATGGTGACTGAGGGGAAAGGACTCCAAATCTGACAAGAATGAATGAACAGTTCCTTTCCCCTCAGAGTTTCTCTTTAAAGGAAGAATACAGTGCTCTTTTATAATATGTGGGAATACAATAAGAAGATAGGCAAAAGGGAACAAACTTTTTAAAAACTGGAGAGTGAGGGGAAGATGGGTAAGAAGCTGTTTTATCTGTTTTCTGTTTTGTCTTCATTTAAATTTAGATATTGGGGTACTACATACATTTCTGTTATAATATCTTGATTCAATGTTTGCTTTTGTTTTATATCCTCAAGTCTGTCTGAAGTTGAATGACCTTTGTGTTAATGAAATATAGGAAGGTAATTGCAAATGTATTTCTTTGTTAAGATTAACTATTATTGGCAAACATGTTCTCCCATGCAGTGGGTTTTCTTGTTGTTTTGTTGATGGTTTCTTTTGCTTTGAAAAAGCTTTTTATTTTTATGTAGTCCCATTTGTTTATTTTCTCCTTAGTTTTCATTGCCCTAGGAACTGTATTGGTAAAGATATTGCTATGACATATGTCTGCTATTTTGCTGCCTATGGCTTTTTCTAAGATTTTTATGGTTTCTCGTCTTACGTTTAAGTCCTTTACCCATTTTGAGTTTATTTTTGTGTATGGTGTAAGTTGGAAGGGTTTAATCTCCAAAATTTATAGGGAACTCATACAATTTAACAAAAGGAAGATAAACAATCCAATCAAAAAATGGGCAAAGGACCTAAATAGATACTTTTTGAAAGAAGACATACAGAAGGCCAAGAGACACATGAAAACATGCTCAAAGTCACTAATCATCTGAGAAATGCAAATCAAACTGACAATGAGGTACCATCTCATACCTGTCAGAATGGCTATCATCAACAAATCAACAAACAATTGCTGGTGGAAATGCAGAGAAAAGGGAACCCTCGTGCACTGCTGGTGGGAATGCAGATGGGTGCAGCCACTGTGGAAAACAGTATGGAGTTTCCTCAAAAAATTAAAAATGGAACTTCCATTTGACCCAGTAATCCCACTTCTAGAAATATATCCCAAGAAACTAGAAACACCAGTCAGAAAGGATATATGCACCCCTATGTTCATAGCGGCACAATTCACCATAGCTAAGATTTGGAAACAGCCTAAGTGCCCATCAGCAGATGAGTGGATTGGAAAACCGTGGTACATCTACACAATGGAATACTATGCTGCTGTAAAAAAGAAGGAACTCTTACCATTTGCAACAGCATGGATGGATCTGGAGAGCATTATGCTAAGCGAAATAAGCCAGTCAATGAAAGAAAAATACCACAAGATCTCACTCATTTGTGGAATATAACGAACAACATAAACTGATAAACAAAAACAGATACAGAGACAAAGAAGCATTGAACAGACTGTCAAACTTCAGCAGGAAGGCAGGGGAGGGTTGGGGGGGTAGGAGATCAACCAAATGACTTATATGCTTACATATAAGCATAACCAATGGACACAGACACTAGGGGATGAGGGCATGTGCAGGAGGAGGGGGAAGATTGGGGGGAGGTCAATAGGGGAAAAAGGAGACATATGTCCTACTATTTGTAATACTTTAAACATTAAAAAAAGACTAACTATGATAGTATACTTGTCTTTTTACAAGAATATAATGACAAAATTGACACAAACTGACTTTCATTTAGTGTTATTGCAGATTTTTGTGTTTAATAGCATCTGAATTATATGCAGACAGATTCAAAACTACACACATGGAAGCTTGGAATAAAGATAGATAAGAGATGTTGGGCAAATGTTTGTGAAAAGGATTTATTTAAATAAATTTTCACATGTGATTTACATCTTAAATTCTTTAAGACTGTTTAGAGACATTAAATGAAAGGGAATTAAAAGGCAGAAGCAGTATTTGTACAAACCACTCACCCCTTTGCTGTTAGTTTCTCTCCTCCCCCCAATAACATGATGATCTGTGCATTTGTGGTCTCTTTTATATTAATTTATACCCCTTTTAAAAGCTGGGTCTCCACCCCTCATTATCTTGGGGTTCTCATCATCTATAGCAACACCTTGCAAATAGGAGGTTTGATATAAGTTTGTATATATGACCTGATTCATGAAACTCAATCCTGCTTTTCTTCAGTCTCCTACTTAGCTTTTTGGTCTCTTCTACTTTATTTGGCTTTATAACCTTGCTAGTTTCTCAGATTCAGCATAAAGGGAGGTCCTCACTGAATACCACCCAAGAAGGAGTATTAATATGGCTTTAATACGAATACATCTTCACATGTTAAACAGCATAAAGTATAGGCAGTGTTTATATGGAAGTTCTTTTCTTTTTTTTAAAAAGGTTTTTTTATTTTTTAATTTTTTTATTGCTTAAAGTATTACAAAGGGTTAGTTTTACTGATTTTTTTACAGAGAGGAAGGGAGAGGGATAGAGAGTTAGAAACATCGATGAGAGAGAAACATTGATCAGCTGCCTCCTGCACACTCCCTACTGGGTATGTGCCCGCAACCAAGGTACATGCCCTTGACCTGAATCGAACCCGGGACTCTTGAGTCTGCAGGCCGACGCTGTATCCACTGAGCCAAACCGGTTAGGGCGATGGAAGTTCTTGAGTTACATATGAGATTAATATCAAGAGGCTCACACAAAGGGTTATTTTTTAATTTGATAAATATCAGTGACATCCTCACTGATCCCATACTTCGCAGATAAACCTGTGATTCTTAAGGCTTTCTAGGCTAGAGAACATTTTAAAAATAACATCTTCTCATTTTGTTGAAGGAAGAACTGAACTTTAGTAAATAATAAATTGAATTGCTACCCTGTGAGCACATGGATACAGGGAAGTGGAAATAGAAAAAAAGGATGTGAGCTTAGTCTCGTCTATAAGGAAGTTAAATGTTATCTGGGGAAATAAATCACAAAGAAATTAAATAGTCAGAAAAGAGCAGCTTTCCAGTCAGTAAGATGGAAGAATAGGAAGTTCCAGAAAGTCATTCCTTTCCTCATGGAGACATTGGTTCAACAATACACAGACAGTGTCCATATGAGAAATGTGTAGACTCAGTAGAGAGGCACTTGCATCTTAGGGGACTGTGAAACCAGCTGCATTGAGGCCAGCTGTATTGAGAACATATATGGCACTCGTTTGCCATAGCCTTCTTCTAGGCTCAGTGGAGCAAGATTGAGAGAAAACTTCCAGTTTCCAGCTTCTCTTTGGGGGAAATAGAAAACTGAGACATATGGCCTATGTGTAGAATTTTCAGGGTGCTGCCTAAGGGACTGGTTGCTGACAGGTAAGGGTGCCAGATTGGGGCCACTGAGAACAAAGATGAAGGTTTGACCAGTAGGTATTCCCTCAGCATAACCCATCCCCCACCCAAGTGGGAAAGAGTAGGTGAAAGCCCCCAACTCCTGACTTCTTCCTGGGGATGGAAAGAGTTGGAACTTGCATCTAAAATTACACTTTTCTGAGAGACTGGTTTCTATTTTGCCTGACTGGAAGCTCTGATGAGACCCAGCATAGTATAGACACTTGGGGGCTGCTGAGAACAAAAGAAAACTGGGCTGCTTACAGCAGCTCCAGAGAAACGGCAGTACTGCAGACAGAGAGCAGAGGGAATAAAAGATCACAAGCACCCTAAAAAGACTGGCAAATTCGTACAGTAAAGAATTCACACATACAAGTCTAGAGAAGACACATCCATTAAAAGATCTGAGAGGGTCCCAGAGTCTCTAGCTGTGCTATTTTGTATAGGTCCTTTCCTATGCAAAGCCATTCCATAAACACTGGGAGATGGTTGTTTTTCCAAATGTGTGGATCCCATCACAAAGTGACAAGGCACAAGAAGAAACAGGAAAACATAGCCCAATCAAAGGAACAAAATAAATTTCCAGAAACCAATCTTAAAGAAATGGAGTTATATGAATGACCTGACAAAGAATTCAAAATAACTGTCACAAAGCTGCTAAATTGGTTCAAGAAATTGAATCATGAAGAAAATAAGAATATCAACAAAGAAAAACTATAATAAAAAATCAAACAGAAATTTTGGAGCTGAATATACAAAGCTCAATTGAAAATTTCACAAGAGTTATCTGATCCCAGAAGGGCCCATGGGGTGGGGCAACGAGGGGGTGAGGTTGTAGGGGGTGCCCACACCAGGCCGGGTGAGCTCAGAAACAAAGAAAAGAGAGAGAGAGAGAGAGAGAGAGAGAGAGAGAGAGAGAACAAAAAAAGGAAAGGAAAAATTCACAAGAGGAATTCAACAGAAGAATTCATAAAGCAGAAGAAAGAAGCAGCAAACTTAAAGATAGGTTATTTTAAAGTATCTGGTTAAAGGAGCAAAAGGAAAAAAAAAGATTAAAAAGGAGTAAAGAGAGTTGGAGGGCCTTATGGGACATCATCAAATGGATTAATATATACATTATTGGATTCCCAGAAGGAGAAGAAAGAGAAATGGGCAGAGGGCTTATTTGATGAGATAACTTTTCAAATCTGGGGGATAAAATGGGCATTCAGATTCAAGAAGCCCAAAGAACTAAAATAAGAATGAGCACAATAAGCCTTACACTGAGATACATTAAAATCCTACATAATAAAAGACTAATATGCAAATTGTCCCCTCAGGAGTTTGACTGACTGGGAGTTCAACCGCTTGCTTTGATGTGTGCTGACCACCAGGGGGTGGTGAGGAACGAAGGAAGGTCCCAGCTGGCAGCTGGCAACCGGCAGCCAGAAGGCCCCAATTGGCCCTGATCACCGGCCAGACCAAGGGACCCTACCCATGCACAAATTTCATGTACTGGGCCTCTAGTCTATTTAAAAATCTCCACTATTTTAAATGAGCAGAGGCAGGGTCAGAACCTGTTTTTAATAGCTTGTGTTAAAATTCATGACTTGTAAAATGAAGTGATTTCAGCTCACAAAATCCTCAGTGCTTATATATCCTTATTCTACAAATTTCCACCATTCTCTTACTATAATAAAAGAGGAAGAGGTAGTAACACAAAGGTATACTCAAAACAAACTCCAGGAGTCCATTACATAGCATAACTCCAGGACGGGGGACTAGTCTGTGAGACTTCAGGACAGACAGCCTCCACAAGACTAAATGAGCTCGGGGTGAACCCCTCCAGAAGGCAGCAGTGATTCACTTAGATTTCAGAGCATGTGAGTTAGGATGAACACAAAGAGGCAGAATATTGTAAAAAAGACCAACACTTTAGAGAGCCTAAGTGCATTGTTGCTTTACCATCTTGAAACAATCCCAATTCTTTTCAAATTAATCATAAATTCTATTCCCATGTGTTGGTCTCTGTGCGTAGGCATATTATGACTTGGGGCACTCTGATCAGTATTTCATTCAGTCAACCTAACGGGTGAGGAGACTGATTTGTCACAAAGACTACAGACATAAGACATGTTTATCATATTCAACAACGGAAGGATATTTATCGAGCATTTGTTGAATTCGATTTATTGAAGATGTGATCCACTGAAGACTATGTTAGTAGTATATTGTATGCTATTTACAAGAAAATATGAAGCTCTTATTATAAAAGTGGATGACTATAAGGAATTAAGAAACATAAAAATCACACTGACTACTTTTTACATTAGATATTAAAAAAAATAGTAGTGTTTCATATATTTTCCACGATTTGAATAGTCCATGTCTTGAATCTAAATATTTGGTCATCTTGGGCTCTAGCATGATTTCTTAAAACATGAAAACCAATTTTATTCCTACTTAACAATCTGTCCAATTGTTTTGAATCAGGTGCAGCAGCAAATGAAGAACGGTAGAGTGTATTATAAAGGAATAAAAAAGGGTTGAGAATCAGAAAACCTGGGGTCAAGTCTCTGTCCTTCTCACTATGAAATTTTGGACACCTGATACTCAGTTTCTTCAGGTTTATGTAAGGGATCGTTATTATTACTTTGGAGGATCCTTGTGAGAATGAGATGTGAAAATATCTGTGGCCATAATTTGGGAAATGTAATGTGCTTATGCAAATGTTAGATGTTCTTATGTGCTTCTTTTAAATGCCTGCATATACACAATAGAGACTATGTAGAAAAAATGGAAATGAAATGAAATTTCCAATTCATTAGGGCACCACACACTGCAAGCATTAATGTGTGCCAAAATTAGCACTGTGGAGCTCTAATTATACAGATTAACTCTCCGTGATGATCAAATGAAGCAGGGATTCTTTATCTTAAATGTATTGCTATAAAGTCATAGTAAGAAGCGTGGAATCAACCACATCATTAAAATTAAAAGAATTCAGCAAATTGCCTGGTCTCTGGAGGGACAGACATCTTCTCTTGTTTCAATTTAGCTTCATTCAATATTTCTAAGAAAAATATCCTGGCCAACATAAATCTGAACAACTGAGAATGGACTTTTTTTTTTTTTTTTTTAACAGCACAGTACAAGCATTACCATGTCCTACAAAAATGTAAGTTTTTAAGCACTATTTCATATCTGGCTAATCTTTCCAGATTCCTGAGTTTTTTCTTAGGTCAAGCATAATATATGCCAAGTTTGAGAAGAAAGTCAATTTCATGCTAAATTTAATAAAACTTTCATAGTGACAGGCAACATTACATATATTTAATTATACCTAAAGTATCAAAGATGAATATTCTGGTGTTTTGTTGAGAGCTTTTACAAGGAATAAAAAATATGATTAACACAATCATTTAAAAATAAGTACTTATTTGAAACATCGAGGGTACATTTATTAATATTTGAAACTGAATATATGCATGCTACCTGAGAGGCATTGATAGTTCCATTTCTTTCTTCTGTATTGTAGGTTTTCCAGCTGCAGTCATTTCAATCATACAAGCAACCCCAGGGCTACCAGCAGGCACTGTGAAGCTAGAAATGAAAACAGAAGAGGCCATTGATGTATGTGTTACTGGTGAGAACAGGATAACTTCACACATGGATGGTAAGTACTTCCTCAATGAGAGAGGTACTTTCTGGATCACAATAATCCTGAAATATGGCTCAACCACGTGTGAACCTTTTAGGATAGATAAAAGATATATTTCTTTTCTAACACTGCATTTTATTCTCCTTCCCTCCTCCTGTCTTTAAATCAGGACTTGAAATGCTTTCAGAAAGTCAGACCCCCACAATACAAAGAGGGCTTTATGTGCCTAAGTAAGTATTGATAAATTTTGTGTTAAATGTGGTCGACATATGGTCTCACTCATGTAGGAGATTGTTGGACAAGTAACATCAATGTTAAATGATGCTAAACTCCCTAGGTAGAAATTTCCCCTCCCTGGCCTATAGGGGGAATAGAAATGGAATAAGAAATGAAAAGCTGCATACCCCTGAGCAGTGAGATTACACTGTGATACAGTTATCAGAAAGCATGCTGCTAATGTACTGTCTGGTACTGCTTTTTAGAGATAAAGAAAAGCATAAGGTTAAGGGAATTTGTAGAATGAATGGCAGAAATGGTCAATACACAATTGAAAATTTATCAGAATTATAGAGTGATGCAATCAGAAAAGGTACACATATGAAAGTACTTAGCATATTTTTAAAATAGAATTTTAAGACATTAAATTGATATTACCCTGTCTCTCGACATATGTAATAATTGTAACTTGCACTGTGATGAAGCCTACTTCATAGAGATAGTAGGAAATACATTTACTAATACTAACAGCGACACTCTCTGCATTTTGAATATGTGAATGATTTTAATGCTCAATATTGCTTATTTTTATTTTTTAAATTCTGGACAGTGAACATACCCAGTTAAAAAACCCCCACATATTTTTATTGATTTCAGAGAGAGAAAGGAGAGGGAGAGAGAGAGAAACATCAATAATGATAGAGAATCATTGATTGGCTGCCTCCTGCACACCCCACACCGGGGATTGAGCCCACAACCTGGGCATGTGTCCTGACTGGGAATCAAACCATGACCTCCTGGGTCAAAGATGGATGTTCAACTATTCAGCCACACCAGCCTGGCTATTTTGAGCTTTAACCCGCTGTCCTAATTTATCCAGGACTGAGAGGGTTCCTAGAACATGGGACCTTTTGTGCTAAAACCAGAGAAGTTCCAGACACACAGGATCAGTTGGTAATTCTACTTTTCAAATAAAAAGTCAGTTTTATGAAACACTCATTAGGGGGGGCGGGGAGGTTGGGGGTTAATGGGAAATGAGGACACATTTGTAATACCTTAACCAATAAAGAAATTAAAAAAAAATTTCAAGAAGACTGAAAAAAACCCACTCATTAGTTCAATCATTTGCCAATATTTTTCTTAAAATTAATTGTGGAGACTAAGTGGAATGGGAAAACAAAGTGGAACGTTCTTTTCCTCCTCCCCACTCCAAAGAGACAACTGCCTGAGATCCCCTCTTCTCTCTTATCTAGAAATACAAATCTGATCTGGTCCTGGCAATACGTCATCCCACAACTTTTTTGGCCTCCACTCTAGTTTATCAAGCTCGTTTCTAATGTTGATAAGATCACTGTGGAAAATTCTAGTAATAACTTCTAGGGTGTCCCATTTGTGTGCACTGCATAGGGTAAGGATCTATGAAGCACAGCGGCCATTATAGTTGAGCTGGGCAGGTAAACCTGTGTAATGCTTTATGCTGGAGATGGAATAGCTCTGAGGTCCTTGTTCAGAAATAAGATCTCTTTGTTCCATTTAGAGCCCATTAATTCTAACCCTGAACTGCAGTTCTACAAAAGGAAGTCCTCTATTTGCTTTCTGTTACTGCCTGCCATTCCCCCATCGTTTCCATCAAATGGTTGTTTCTATTGTCTGCTTAGTCTATGTGCTATTTTAGAAATTGACACTCTAATTCCACCAGAAGATTTTTCCAGATTCTTATCACATTCATTTTTATGTCTCATATTTGCTTATAGACCAAAGTATGTCATAAGAAACAAAAAATGCTCTATAAACAAATTAGACATTATGCCACATAAATCATTCGAGGAAAAATCTAAGTGCATATCCCTCATGTCTCTCAAGTATTGCTGAGGCCAGCTGAATCTAATGATTTAAAGACTCAAGGATCATATTTTGAGATAATCCATTGACTGGCTGAGTGATCTTAGGTAAACCACTTAACCTTTCTTCCCTGAAGTGTGATTATCCACAGAGGGAGATAATCATTCTTAGCTCATAAATGGTTAGTGCGAATCACATTATTTAATGTACATAAATCATTCAGTGCTAATATTAAAATCCAGAGTTAAAGCAATTATTTGCTGACTAGACAGGGATCTCTAAAGAGATTTTTATTAAAATAAATTTCACAGTCAAGTTGAAGTGTTCATCTACTTCTGCTAACACTGCTTGTAATGGAATTCAAAATGAAATACTTGGGTTGCATTATTTAAAAAATCAAAATGTGATGAAACAGACCTATTTTTCAGTGTCCTTAACATTCTGGTTGGCGGACCCATTCAGATTTGGAAGAGATAATTTATTTAAAATTTTTAGAAGATCCTGCTCAAACTGGAAGTTAGGTATCCAAAACCAAGGGAAGCATTGCAAAAATGTAAACAATCGCCCTAACTGGTTTGGCTCAGTGGATAGAGCATCGGCCTGCGGACTGAAGGGTCCCAGGTTCGATTCTGGTCAAAGGCGTGTACCTTGGTTGCAGGCACATCCTCAGTGTGGGGTGTGCAGGAGGCAGCTGATCGATGTTTCTCTCTCATCGATGTTTCTAACTCTCTATCCCTCTCCCTTCCTCTCTGTAAAAAAATCAATAAAAAATATATAAAAGTCACCAATGGAGGGTGGGTTGGTGAATTGAATCAAGCACTTTTATATAATTGAATTCTACCCAGCTTTTAAATAGAGGCTATAGAATACTAATTAATGGAATGAAAATATATTTGTATAAATATGGAAAGAGGTAAATACAATCTGGATAATAAAGCATTTTTATAAAAGTATGCATAAGCAATTATACCAGAACTACTCTCACTAACATGAACAGTGGCTTTCTTTACATGTGGAATTAGAATGGTTTTTAATTTGCCTCTTTTATTTATTTGCATTTTATAAATTTTGACATTGAACATGTGTCCATTTGACTTCCTAAAACAAAAATTTAGTTTTAATAAAAAGCAAATCAAGGATTAAATAATTCAGTAATATTTTTCTGTGTCTCTGAATTTCATGCTTTCCTTCTAGGCACATCTATCTGTCAATCTTTTTCCTGAGTATATATTTCACAGTTCTTGTAATGAGAATTTGTGGATAGTAAACATAGTCATATCACATTTCACATCACCCTTGCATAATAGTTTAACTGTGTATAAAATTTGACATGTTTTTTCTTTTAGAACTTAAAGCATAGTACACCATTATTTTGTGCAATTTGTTGCTGATGTGAAGTCATTATCAGTTCCATTTAATGGCTGTTCTTTTAATTTTTCTTTTTACAGCTTTAAGATCATTTTTATCAGTGATAATGAGTCTAGGTGTGGATCAATCATTATTTATTCTTCTTTAATACGCTGAATGCACTTTTGATCTCAAGAATAACGTATTTCTTTAATTTTGGAAAGTTCTCACTTGAATTACCTGAAATACTGCTTTCTGACATTCTCTGAAATTTCTTCTTTTAGATTTTTTCTAGAATTCATATGAGTTATTTTTAGGAATCTTGTTAACTTGTTCTCTAAATTTCTTAATCTTGCTTTCATTTTAAAAAATACTCTCTTCATTTCTCTATCCTGTATTCTTCCTAGGCACCATTCCCCTCCCCCACCCAAGAGTCTCCAGGACCATTTATTTTATCTATTGAGTTTTAAACTTCAATGAATATATTCTTTTACCCCCAATATTCTGAATACTTTCCATATTTTTGGTATTAATTTGCTTTTGTAATTTCTCCTTTAAGATAAATGCTATTTTTTTCATTTATGTTTTCTAGCATCCTAAGAATACTTATTTTAGTTTTTGTCAGATTTTTTCCATAAAAATGATTTTAGTGGAGGGTTAATTTTTTCATTTGCTGATTTGCTTGTTTCCTTTCTCAGTCTTGCATGTGTTCTGATATTCTGCTGTGCAGGCTCATTTTGAGTGGGGAGTATTTTTGTTTTTCCCTGTTCTTCCTCACTCACATGGCCCTAATCCTGTGATCTTCTGCTGCACTCAACTCTGCCTGCATGATGAGAACTGCACCTGCTCCTCTGGCCAAACTGACCAGCACTTAAACTAGAATCTTGGGCAATGGGTTTGGTAGTTCTGTCCATCCTTGATGTTATTAAAGGTATGCACAGGTCCATTCACAGAGCTAAAAGGATTGCTCGGTGCATTTCTGCTCACAACACTGTGTCTGTGTTCTGTTTTATTCCTGTGCTGGCAGCTTGCTAAAAGTCAGAATCCCAGATGAGTGTGTGTATGTGGAAGAGAGAGAGGGAAGAGGGAAGAGGGAAGAGGGAAGAGGGAAGAGGGAGAGGGAGAGGGAGAGGGAGAGGGAGAGGGAGAGGGAGAGGGAGAGGGAGATATCTCATACATATTCCTGAGTCAGTAGTTTTAGTTCCTTTGCCCTATAGAAGTGAGCTTCCACCGGACCTATACCATGCAAGGCCTGCAGTATTACCTTTTGCTGCTCTGAATTTTTGTCTTTTTCTTGTTCGGGAAGATATTTTCTTGTATATCTTCAGTTATCTATTCTTTTTATTTTTTATTTTGTCCATCGTTGCTATGCGTTTGACACTAAGAAGGAGCACCATACTGTGAAGTTACAGAGTCATCTTGCCTAGAATTCCCACATTTTTTTCTTTCATAATAAGAAAAGACAAGAATAAAGATCAAACTAAGTCCTTGTCTTTGAAGGGCTGTGTAAATAGAAAGTTATCTTTAATTTGTGAGA